AAACGGTGTAAAAATAGAATGACAAACTTATATAAGCAAAAAAACAATTCATATATACAATATTCAATAAGTTTACACTTACTTTGATTACTGCTAATATTTCATAATACACTATCAAAAGGGGATTTGCCTTGATTCATTTTTTATCGTTGTCATAAATAAAGTGTCCCCACCATATATAATATTTGTTTTGCACTTTATTAGATTTGAAATGTATTATCACCCATATACGCGTTCATTAAAAAATAGCCTCTGTTTCGCCAAATTCCTTTTACTTTAAACAACAAATTAAAAATCAAAATTATGTCCGATTGCCGATAGAACAAGACCCTCCATTCTTCTTCCAGGCCTTCTTCTTTCTCTCCCCACTCTATACTGGACTCTTGCCTGCAACCAATTTTACACCTTCCCATCTTTTACAGTCTGCCTTTATTTTCATATATTGGACACTATCAAGGTCACTTGACCTTTCGAATATTCTTTTCAAGGTCATCTATGCTTGTCCTTTTCCTAAAGCAAGTATTTCAAACCCTATTTCATAGAACCTATATGTACGCCCACCCAAGAGTCGGTACTCGGTACCTCGCAAAGCAAGCTCAGTAAATCTATCACAATATTGAGTGCTCAGTTTGGCTCGACTCCAGGACAGCTTTATGATCGTCTCTAATATAACTCAACGCGACATAACTATAATTAGTAACAGGTGTATTTAGCCTAAACATAACAGATTTCTTGTAACAAAATGTACGTGGGTCATTGCAATGGACGGAATGTGCCTACATGCAAGCGCAAATTCGGCCCCACATGGAATACTGTTCACACCTCTGGGCGGGAGCTCCCCAGTACCAGCTCTTTCCACTTGACCGTATTCTACGAAGAACGGTTCGAATCGTCGACGACCAGTCACTTTCCGTGCGGCTTGATCCGTTGGCGTTGCGTAGAGATGTGGGGTATCTCTGCATCTTCTATCACATTTACCATGGAGAGTGTTCAGAGGAGCTGTTCGGTCTAATATCTGCAGCTGAGTTTCATCATCGGCCGTCAAGACAAAATACAAAATACCATCCGTATCACCTCGACGTCCGTCGTTCCACAACTGAGCGTTTTCTAAGGCAGTTTTTGCCGCGCACCACCACTATGTGGAACCAGCTGCCCACTGAAGTATTTCCGAACCAATTCGACTCAGGGTCTTTCAAGAAAAGAGTGTACAAAAGGGATCGCAGGAGGCCTGGGCGGCGGTTCTCTTACATGGGTGTTTTCAAAAAAAAAAAATGTGGTTTTGTTGTATTGATGTATTTGTATTAATGTGTTATTGTAACTAACACCTTATGGGATTGTCTGCTTAAATAATTAAATAATTATTATTAAAAAAGATTTCAGTATTAAATAAAGTATATATTCACAATTTTCAACGGTTCGCTTCTCAAGGATAAGTCAATGGTCGTCTAAAGAACACTTAAAAAAAGAAAATTTATAAACCGAGTCTGTACGGAGCATTTGCCGAAACAAATGAATGTTTATTGGCTCGTGAAATCTTGAATTATGTATATTTAATAATAACTATTAGAATAAAGATGATTATTAGTAATCATAACAATTAAATATACAGTATTTACTATTTTTTAACCTACATAGTAATAATACAAATAATTAAAAATAATAAAATGAAAATTAAAACAAATTTAAAAAGTTTGGTCCCTCTGGCAGTGTCCCTTTAAAAAAACTATTACTTTATTAAGCTAATACACGAAATTAACATTTTAAAAATCTTGGGCTTGAATAAAATAAATAAGTACAATATTTTATATCATTTAATAATTCCCAAGTAAATAATATTAAGAATCATCTAGATCCTTAATCACTTACTTTGTCTTTCCCTTTTTAATTAATGTTCAGATTCCTTTTAACCCTTCTCAGTATAATTAACTTTCTTAAATGTTCCAAAATTATTTTTAATAAAAATAACTCTAAAATAGAGCTTGAAATTAACTCTAATTACCTCCGAAATTAATAGGCATCTTTAGATTCTAACAACGGTTTTTGTACCAAAGTAAAATAAAATAAATTAACATAATTTATTAAGTAAATTGTCACTCGTACAAAGATAAACACTCACATACAGACACACTAATTTATAAGTATTATTAAGCTGCGTATAAATTAAGCGCGGCAGCCGCGCGAGCCAATGTTCGACCAGAGTTTGCCGCGCGAGCCAATATGTAGATATAAATTTAGTTGGACGTGACAGCCGCGCGCGGCAGGCGATCCATCACGAACAGACCGCGGCGGATAGTCAGACTAGTTCACTCTTGTAAACCTGCGAGGAGTATGGACGTGGTCGTTATGTAAGAGAATAATAATAAATATTTATTTATTTAATTTTTCAAATGTAAACTGAACTTTATTGACTATTATGACTCCTTTTCCAGTCTTTGATTATTTAATTGTAATTAATTATTTGCATGCAATCAAAAACTATTTTTAATATTGCCAAAGAAGTATAACTTCTTACGCGCGTACATAAGTAGACGCACCATTTTTTACGTATTCGCCGCGCGAGCCAAATCACCAAAACTATAACAGTCCCAACTGCGCGCGAGCGAACGACTGAAGCTCCTTTGATGCGGTCTCAAAAACCGACAGCGAGCGGATCGCCCCGCGGCACGTTCGAGCGCGGCAAGTTCGCGTCGCCGCGCGCGGCAATCCCGTCTACATAGAGCGCGGCCGCCGCGCGCCAATGTTCGATGGTTTGCCGCGCTTAATTTATACGCACCTTTAGGTAATTCTTTGTTAATAATATATACATTTGTTTTTGTAATTTTTAGAAGAGCTACCTTGCGATTCTGTAACTCACTTTTCGAACTCACACAGCGGTTTTCATAGCGGCGGCGTATGATTTGACATTCTGATAAGAAGGGAGCTTGTAGTTTATTGCTTATCTATCTTAGACTATCTAAAGTTAGTAATTTTTTTTTTGGAAAAGGGATACTCTTTAATTAAATCCCAGAGGCTCTTTTATCTCTGCCTTTCAATAAATTTAAGAAATGTATTAAAGAAAAGCTGTTTAAAAAGGCTTACTATAAAGTCAACGATTATCTAGTTGATAAAAGGGCCTGGGACTAGTGCTAGACAGGCTACTTCTAATTAATTTGCGATATTTGTTTTTAAATTGTTTGATGATTTGCTATTTTAAAAGAGTACCGAGAGTTTTTTACGCCGGCTTTTTCTCTCGGCTTACACCCTCTGTCTTCTTTGCCGATGAGTAGGGATGCCTACAAATTCAAATTTAATGACGTGGAATAAGTGTTACATATGCTGGACTACCTAATAAAAAAAAATTCAACACTTCTATACAACTGTATATCTGTTGATCATGTATTTATTAACCGCGTTAAACTTAAATAAAGTGGGAAAATTATAATTGTGTTAGTTTAGAATATACCACCTACATAATTATATAAAAAAATGCAAATACATATATATGCAACAATATGTCTCTCTTGTATACTGTATTAAAAATACTGTTTAAAGAAGTTAATATTACGTTTTATATTTGCAGTTTGGTATTAACGTTGCTCTGTGCAACATCAAACAATTAATTCGTAACAAAGGCGCGTTGTTTTCTTGCAATACATAAAACAGAGTTCTTGAGAGTTCGCAGAAACTAATTCGATATGAAACGCTACAATGCAGCCACGGAACTATGAAACAATTCCTCTAGATATATGGCCCCCTTAAGAATTGCTTCTGCTGAGAACGAACAATGTGCCAACGTACTCTCTAGACACTCATAAATATTACTCATATCCTTTCTTATACGACAGATTAAAAATTCCTAAAGTTACATAAGGTTTAAAGTAACTGTGATTTTTTGTATGAAAAATTTATTTGCGCTATTGTCAAATTTAGTCTTGTTATATATACATATATTTCTAGTTAAAAATTGAATAAATCCGTGGCGCTACAAACTTTTTTAGGTCTAGGGCTCAGATTTCTGTATCTGTTTCATGATCATTTGTCAATCTAATCCTGTGCTTCACATACGCCGTCAACCTTTTGGGTCTAAACCAAGCCGGTTTCCTTACGAAGTTTTGTTTCACCGTTCGAGCGAATATTAAATGCGGCAATAGAACCTACGACCTCAAGGATGACAGTCACACGCTGAAGCCACTAGGCCAACACTGTTATTGAATAGTCAATCATAGATATTTTCGAAATTAGACTTAATGTACACTACAAGCTTTTCTATTATGTTCTAAGATCTAATAAAATCTTGTAGAAGTTAGAATAATGAAGAAAGTTCACCTAAACCTCTCTAAAGACGAAAGTGTTTTCAAAGAAGCGTTTCCAGTGAAGTCTTACAAACAAAAGTCGTCACTGACGTCTGACAGTAGCTAAATCCGCGCAAAACTTGGACGATCCATTGGAAAGGTTTCTTTAATTTGAGCTCATGCTGGCTGAGATAAGAAGGGGATCGAACTGGATGCAAACTTTACACAATTAAACCTTTATTTCGCGCCCCGACAATAACGAGTAATTAGCGCTTGGCGTCTGCTGATTTTTTTCGTGGAAAACTTCGAATTTCCTTCCTTTGTCCGTGGAGAATTTCATCAATCTCTATTCAAAAGGATGACCCTTGAAAAAACCTATTAACATCAGAATGGAGTGTTTGATGACTTATTGAAGTTGAATTGGAAAGTCGAAGGCGTCACGTCGATAACAAACCTGTGAATTAGGAGTTATTTTTAATATCCGGCGGAGGTCAACATACTTCCCTTCGCACGGCCCTGCATCGGGGTGTTAAATTCAATAAACGCTGATCTGTAGGCCTGGCTACGATCTGAATGCACGTTTTCAATACTCCTTATTGAGCCATTAAACCTAATAGCTGTTACAATAGAGCATTACAATTTGTCTCGTCGCGATGCTTCGTAGAAACACGTTAAGGAGAGTACTTATGGTGGTGAACCAAAGTGGAACTTGTGCGAGCAGGTATAAAGTCACGTATCGATCGGTGGTGAGGGTTTATCGCCGGATATTGTAAAGTGGTCGCCGTTACACAATGTGTCGGGGTATCGGTACAACTGCGGCAGGTCTGCGAACGTTAATTGTGTTGGGAATAAACCGATATTAATTTTTTAATTTTATTGGGGCCCATTACTTAATAACGTAACCAAATTATTGGATCGCCTCGTATTTCAATGTGTTTAACTTAACCTAGTTTGCACGAATATTATAAATAATAATATAGACAATTTGCACAATTTGAAAATTGAAGCTAAATCGATAGTTTTAATTTAATCAATAAACAATACGTATATTTATTAAAAAATAAGAAAATAAATGGCTATTGAATTAAAGAATTCTTTAATAAAACTAGAAAATTACTTAATGTTTATCTCACACCTAACATATACATTATTTACATTGTTAGATATAAATTTAATATTTTTAAGCTTATTACTAAAACGTACTACTCATTGCTACAAATACTTAGATATTCATTTATGTTCTAAATCTAAACCTTACCTGCTGGACAGTTGCAGTCTGTTGCATCCCTCCGAGACCTGGAAACCTGCACATTTAGGCCTGACGGCCGTAGCCGGAGCTCCAACATCAACTGCTGCTCCTCCAGCACTTGCAGTCGCTGTTCAAGTATCTGCTGTCGCACTATACTATATCCACACGCTAAAAGAACAAAAACACAGAAACACATTCGCACAACACAATACCACAAGTCACTTTTCCCCAT